CCGACCGAAGGACCCGGGTTCCGTCTGCCGTCTACCGTCTGCCGTGGCCACCGAGAGGTCCCATCTCGGTGCCTTTTCCGGAGCCTCAGCCACTGAATGACCCCTCACCTGACGATGCGAGGCAAATACACGTGCGAGCCGAACGACTCTTAAGAACCTCGCCTCCCGCCCCGTGAGAGTTCGGTCGGGCTTGAACGGCAAGCAGCGGGCGACGGTCGGGCCACCTCGACTGAACCCAGCCAATCTCCATCACCCGTCGACTCATCATTCCAGCAATGACCTCCTACTCTTGCGCTGAAAGATGAGCGCGCTGAGCTGACTCGGTCATCATCAGGTCGCATGCCTCCATACAGCCTGACCTGTTTGCGCCATGACCGCGTCATCGAGGTCATCGGTCATTGATGTTATCCGCACGATCAGAGGCGAAAATGTTGAGATATCCAATAGGACGTGAAATGCGATGTTTCCGGCATGCGGACATCGGATTGATAAAAGACCTGACGAGAGGTGGCTAATAATACAGTCGAAATGAACTCACAATGACCCACGTCCATCGAGTCCGACCCCTAAGTGTCGTCTGTGTTTTGTGACGCAGTCCCTTTGCTTCCCCTCGTCTCAAGAAACCGGACCCCGCCTGTGTTGTACAGAATGAGATGCAGGCACATCCCAAAGGGAAAAAGCAAACAAATTCAGTCGCCTGGGTATATAATGCGAATGCCCTTCTTTTCCTCTTCTCGTTTCGAACAAGGGCGATCGTGACCATCGTGCCATCGTAACATCGCTCCATGGTTGCCCGCAAAACGCCAAATGCCTCTGCTTCGCTAGTCGTGCATGGTAGTAGGTGGTACGTCGTAGTGTTTGGGAAATGCGAAAGGCGGCCTCCGTTCGACAGCCAGCACCGCCGCTCGGAAAAGTCTGGAGCAGTCCCCAAACCCCCCGACTCCCCCAGGTCGCTGTCGAGGTGGATACGATTCCCTGACTCGTTGGGTCTCTGGCGACCCACGCCTACGATCCTGGGGTCCTTCGTGGACCGTCGTTTCAATTCGGCTAACCCTTCCGCATCGTTTCTCATCACCGACGTGAGAGATCGAGAATATGTGTTCTTGCATCATCCGAATCGCCATGATTTCACCCGCCTTCATCAGATTCCGTACTTGTTCGGGGTCCAACTGCGGGCGTCGATGATGTTTTTTGACTCGGCCTTGACGAGGAACCCCGCGTCGCAATACGACATGTCTGGGCGGGCAATCTCAGGCGGGTAATGCTAGATATTTCGTCAGTAATTTCGCCCTCGATCCCGGTCTGATGTCCACGTACCAGGCGCATACAACACGCATCCGTCCATCCCGTCGCGCATGTGCCCAGATCTTGTCCAAACTTGGTTTTGTATTTTCCTCCGTTCGCCGGTTCGCACTTTGTTCCAACTCTCAGCTTGTTGTCAATTGTGCCTTTACAGCAGTGCGGTTGCAGCGTAATGAAGGGGCTCGCGAGCTGGTCGGTGGGCGGGTATGGGTAGCAGTGGAACGGCTGGCTCTGCGCGAGGATGACGGGCAAGCCGAACATGAGAAACAAGGCGACGATTGCAGCCGAGAAGCCCAGAGGGCGGTGCATCTTGGGCGGGATCAGCGATTGCAGGCGGACGACGATGGCGGAGGTGGCGACTGCGGTGAAGAAGCGGGAAATGTGGTGGTGAGCCTTTTGCAGGACCTCGCGGATTGGTCTTGGCAGATGTTGGACAAGCAACTGGACAAAAGTGGCCGTGATGGCGAGAATTGGAGGCGGCGAAGACGACGGAGGCGGCATTGCTGAGCTACTTAACGGCAACGGTATTATTTGATCCCCTGGTCAAATCCTGTGTTGCTATTATTGGCCGGATGGGGTCGGGATGCTGCCGTGGCCCTTCTCGACAACGACACGCACCACACAGAGAGGTACTCCGGAATGCGGGTCGTGAATCAGTTTAGGGCGCCCTTGCTGTTCGGTGTGGAACGGCAGAGCTGTTTTGCAAGGCAGATGCCAGACGGAGTGCTGGTGCTGGGCCCTCGCGGCGGATTAGAGAGGCTAGCGCTCGGCTTGGCTTTGGGACTTGTGTGTACCGTACAATATCAAGACTGCGGCCTGATGCGACGTGACAATCGGCGACGGGGTGCTCTGTGTTGCGTAGCAGTACGGGCGGCGGGCAGCGGTGCGCGATTGTACTTGGACTAGGCGCTGGTCTCTGCGGTCGAGGGCGAAGTAGAGGGGGTCAGGATCGCGCCGATGAGGGAGGGGTGCGTCGCAGCGTTCTGAGCTTAAAGTGTGGCCCTACCGGGGGTATCGCAGTTGGAGGAGAACGTCGGGTGTTCGAACTGGATTATGTGCGTGGGAGGATTGCGTGGAGTCGCAGCGGCGATGGAGGGAAGATGGCTGTCTCGAAGCTCTGGACTGGAATTGTGCCGGCGAGTTTCGCGTGAGGGACTGAAGAGGCCGCGCGGGCTGGCAACCAAAGGAACGGTACTGAGACTGGATGGACGGCGAGAGGGTGGTGTGGTGTGCTGATGTCGAGGACAAGGGAGGCTGGCCGTCGGATGGGCTGGTGATTGGGGAACGCGCAATACGATAGCGACGGACAAGGTGAGAGTTGGGATGGACGAGAGAGAGAGAGTTGAGTAGAGTTTCTAGGGAGGCGGGCGGACAGAGCAACACGATCACAGAAGAAAAGGAAGAAAGGCACGTCAGACGGAAGGAACGAGAGGCATTGCTTAGTATTAGTGGCACCCGACTACCAAGACACATTTTGCCAGTTAAGCACACAGGCAAGAGCTACCTTATGTGGCTAACGAGCAGGCCAAGGCAGGCGAGGCCCGGCTAGGCTAGGCTCCTGCCTGCGAAAAACAAATCAGACCCGTTGAGAAGCAACGATGATCATGGTGCGGGCTGGGCTGGAGAAAAAAGGAAGGTCCATCGTAATAACAGTAATTGGAAGGCGCAAGGAAGGCACAAGGAAGGCACGAGATTGGGCAGTCGCGGGAGGCACACTCAGAAAGAGCGAGACAGGGAAGGAAGGGAGGAGCAGAGGAGACGTCGTTGAGGGGCAGGAGCAGGGGCCACGCCGGGCCGTCCAGGCTGGGCAAGAGACGAATTGCAAAGGGAAAAAAAATCATGGGGAAGGCAAATGGAAGGGGCCAAATCGAGTCGCACAAAGGCGGGAATGAAGAAAGACGGGAAGAGGCTGCCTGCAGTTGCAGGGCCATCGCCATTGGAACGGACACGGTCACTGTGTCCCCTGCTATCGTAGTCAGCATCATACAGGCCCAATTGGAGCCCATGCAGTCAGAAACACCACAGATTGGATCGCGACACGGGAGGAAGGACGAAAACTCCAATAAATTCAACAAATAGCCCCCAGCCAGGCAACCCAGCCAGAGAACATGTCCGCCGCGCAGTCGGGCGTGTTCCCCCGCCCTACGCAGGCCCGCCCAGGCCTGTCATTACCCACGCGAAATCCTCCGTACTCCGTATCCAGCTTAAACCGGGCTGAGGATTCGCCCGCCCTGCGGCGCAGCGACCAGCATCAGCACCATGTCGCAGCGGCGCTAAACCTGAGGTGAGGGGTCCTTCCTTCACTACTGTTTGAAGTATTTTTTTCACTTCATTTTTCGTATATTGCAGCACAAAGTTTCTCAAATGAACGACACCAAATTTCCGCTGCCTCCAACGTTCGTCAACGCGTTGCATGACTAAGTAACCCGCAGTTCGTTCATTCAATAAAGTCTGAACAGATTTCCCACGCAGCAATACCTCAGATGACAGCCCGCATCTCGCACACGCAACGGCGCAAGCAGCACTTGCAGAGGCCGGGTAAAATGAGAAGAACACCTTCTTCTCCTCCGCTTCCCTGTGACGAGCCAGGGTGTCCGCGGCCGCCCCCGTCATGCTATGCAAGGGCACCCAGTCCACGGTCAGCTCAACCCCGCTTTTCTGTGTGTCTTCATTCGTGGCCCTCCCACCAGAAAGCCAAAACGCCTCACCCATGCTCACTGCCCTATCCGCCCAAGCCACGAATCAGAATGCGCCCGCCTCACAACCACTCACTGCCCTTTTCTTCTCTCGCCCAAACTGCAACCCACCCGGAACCCGGGCACGGACCCGCCCGAAGTCCCGGCTCCGTGAATAAGGTTATCCGGCCGGCCACTTTGGTCCTCAAACTGCCGGGGTCGCCGGGCCTCTGCTTCACCTGCTATCCCGCTGCTACCTACCTACCGACCTGCCAGCCCACCACCAAAAAAACCTTCCATCTGAAAAGACCCCTAACTTTCTTGGATCCTGTGTCCCATTCCCGCCAAGAACACCAATTTCTACACCTCACCTCCCGTCTGAAAGTCTGCGCGTGTGTGTGTGGTGTGCTGGGCTGGGCTGATTAGCAAATCTGCCTCTGCAAAGTCTATCGTCCTCGTTCACCTATGTGTCTGAGTTTGACAGGCCAGCGAACCGGGGCATGGCGTGCATCTCGACAGTCAGGAGATCCCAGTTGTCAGAGGTGCTGGTGAACACCCCTTCCTGCCGCGAGTTCCGGATGGCGCTCGCTCGCATTTTGATGGGTTGATTGGGGACCCCCATCAATGCAACTCTGCTATTGAACTCTGCCCAGCATCACAATTTTCTGATCGACAACTGGCAGAGTCATGTTGATTGCTGTAATCTGTCATAAAATGCAAGTCGGCCTCGTTTTTTGTACCCTTCTGTCACAGATGGATTGTTGTATTTTGAACGGTTGTCTAACTGAGCGAGAGTCTAAATGACGCGATGTACGGACTCTTCCTGACACATGGGGTCAACTCAACACCTGTCCCGACAATTTGGATGACCTCGCCAACGTAGCGTCTTGACACCCTTCTTTTCAGCTGCCATTACCTCGGAGAACTCGGCAGATCCGAAGTCCTATCTCATTCCCGAGATAAGCGTAGCCTAGCATCGATTCATCTCATAACAGTCCCAAATAATTCCCCGGCCTCCCGCCCCTACAGACGAACCCAGCCCGCGCCCATGACTCCTGCTGCTACTACTACAACACCAGCCCGCCAGCCGAACCCACCACGGCCTGCGCCGCTCTCCCCCTCCGAGTTCCTGCTCCTGACACACGTCTTCCCGTAGTCGCAGACCTCGCCCTCCTTGCAGCATATCCCGCCGCCGCAGCACCGTTCCCTGGCCCCGCACCCGCCCTTGCCGCAGCACTCCCCCGCGACGCAGACCGAGCCGCAGAGCCGCTTGCCGTTGGGGCAGCACCGGCCGAAGAGCAGGTCGACGCAGTGGGAGCCTGTGATGCAGCAGCCTGCACCGCAGCATTGCGAGGTCGAGGTGCAGCAGTTCCAGTTGTGCGGGAGGTGGCACATCAATGTGATCTGTTAGAAGCGCTTGTGGGGTATGGAACATGTGCTTACCTGTGTTCTTTGGGCAAGTGTCCTTTAGATCATCGCGCCGGGTAACAGCTGAGATCGCATTTTGGAAAGGCGTTGTTGAGGTGGCCCTCAGGTTTGGCGATGTAAGTGCAGCTAATGTGAAATCTGCGCACAGTAGCCATAGCCGCATGCTCCACGCCATGGATGATATGGAGTAGCGGAAGAGCCTCATGTTGGTGTCGTGTGTGATATGTTAACTCCATAATCAGTTTCACTGCACATTTCAAATAGAACGAAATCGGCCCACGATGGTTCACTCAATACTATGACTTGCGCTAAAAAAAGAACAAAAGCAATCATTCACTACCACCAATCGTGGAGTTTGCTTGGTATTTTGCCGCCGTCTATGCAACTCCGAATGCTCCCACGTCACCTAATCACTGTCCCTAATCCTCCTTTTGTCCGTGATCCCCGATCAGTTCTTGTTGGCATCCTCCTTCAGCGACACGATACGGTTGAGGATGATCTTGTCATCAGTGCTGTCAGAGTCGACGGCCTAGAGTTGGTTAGCTTGGAAAAATATTTCTACTGCAAGGATGATACTCACAAAGTAGGCAATACGGGTGGCCTGGAAACGAACACTCTCGGGTCCGCCCTTGCCGAGCTCGCTCTCGCCAGCAGCCTCGGGCCAGGGCGCGCGGCGCTTGACCTCGTCAAAGCCGCTCTCAATGATGGCGTCGGGGTAGATGACCTCGCTATCGGGGTTGATATCGTTGAGGAAACCGCCCTCGACGTCGTCGGGCTTCTCGCTCTTGAACAGTGAGTTGTGGATACGGGCCTCGACCTTCTTGGAACCCTCGGTGCCGACCCAGTTGATGAAAGCCTTGGGCTTCTTGGTCTCCGTATCGAACACGGCGCGAATCTCGGTGACCTTGCCGGTGGTCTTGTCCTTGATGTAGGATGTAGCCTTGATGGGGCAGGGGGCGTTGAGAAGACCGACGGTCTTGTTGGGCGCAAGACGGAAGTAGTCCTTGCTGTCGACCTCTCGGAAATCGGCGCGGTCGATATAGACGGTAGGCGTGAACTTGACAGTGTGGGAACCCATCTTGGGGTCCTTGGGAGAGAAAGGCAGTTCGACGTCTTGAGTCTCAGCGCCCTCAATGATGACCGGGATGGGGTCAAGGACCATCATCAATCTGGGAACAGTGCGCTCGAGGTACTTGCGGACAGTCTGCTCGAAGCGCTTAATCTGGATGACGGAGACAGAGGTGGTGACACCCAGCTCGTTGACGAAGTCCAGAATGGCGCCAGGAGGAACACCTCTCCTCTTGATACCAATCAATGTGTAAAGGCGAGGGTCATCCCAGCCACGAACGATCTTCTCTTCCACCAGCTTCAGAATCTTTCTCTTGGAGAGGACGGTGCCGGTGATACCCAGACGGCCGTACTCGCGCTGCATGGGCTCGTAGACGCCAAGAGTCTTGTTCAGCCACTCGTAAGATACGCGGCTCTGGACGAACTCTGTTGTGCACAGGGAGTGTGTGATGCCCTCGAAGCTATCGCACAAGCAGTGCGTGAAGTCGTATGTGGGGTAGATTTTCCAGTCCCAGCCGGTTCGGTGGTGAGGAGTGTCGGTCTTGATGCGGTACGCCGCAAGATCCCACATCTGGGGGTTGCCGTCGGTGATGTCCTGCTTCATGCGAAGGAAGGCTTCCCTGGGTTTGTACTTTCCGTCCTTCATGTCTCTGAACTTCTGGAGGTTCTCCTCGACAGACTGGTTCGCGTGTTCGCATCGGAATCGGGGGGTGGCTCCCTTTTCTCCACCGCGCTGGAGCTTGATCTCGGCGTCTGGAACCTTGGCTTAGCCTCGTATAATTAGCAAATTGATGCGTCCACACTTACCACCACAGTAACACACGTAGGCCTTCTCCAGGGTAATCAGCTTCTCGGCGAGGTCGTACAGCTTCTGGAAGTTGTCGCTCGAGTAGGTAATCTTGTAGGGAGCGAATCCCAGCCACCTGACCATCTCCTCGATCGCAGTGAAGTATCTCTCCTCCTCCTTCTCCGGGTTCGTGTCATCGTATCGAAGGTAGCAGACACCGCCGTGGTACTTGGCGAAGCCGAAGTTGACGGCAATGGCCTTGGCGTGACCGATGTGGAGACAAGGGGTTTGTTAATGGTGCGATAACACTCTAGACAGATTACAACACTCACTATCCATTGGGCTCGGGAGGGAATCGGGTGACAACGTTCTCAGATGGTCTCTCCTTGTAGACCTCCTCGAGGAAGCCCTGCTTGAACATGGCCTGGGCGTCGAGGACAACCTCCTCGGCCTTAGGCTTAGGAGCAGCCTTGGGTTTGCTCTCAGCAGCACCACCGGCGGCCTCCTTCGCAGCCTTTGCCTTCTCGGTGGCAGCCTTCTTCGCGCGCTTGGCCAATCTCTTCTTCAGCTCGCCCTTGCTGACCATCTCGCCTGTCTCCTCATCGAGCTGGAGCTTGGCCGTGGACTCGGCCAGCTTGGCGGTGGGATCCGCAGGGGTGTCCACCATGGTGTCGGTATTCAATCGGGGAGCGCGACAATCGGAAGGGAGTTCGTGTCCTGTGCGTATCGCTTGTACTGGCTCAGAAGGCTCAATTGGGTTCGATGGCAGCTCAAGAGGTGGAAAATGTGTGGTCGTGGTGGCGGGGCAGCACTTCTTTTACAGCGGGGATGACTCAACTGGATCCGGACAGTGAGGGGCGAGGGGCCATCCGCTGCGACCTCCTTGCGACACGCGACAAAGGCACGATAAGATAGGCATCTGATGTTGATAAGATAACACAGCGACGCTAAGATAAGGCAGGCAGAGAGCAAACAGCCAGCCGCAAAGGTGCTCGACATTTACAGCGCCAGGCACCTGAGGCTCAACGGCGATGCCGCCCTCGAAGCTTCCAATATTGAGCCTGATGACCCAAACAGAAACGAAAAATCACTTAAAGGTGAGATAATTTTTCGAGCATTTTAAGAGCGTGAAAATCCAACGAATTGTGCCTATGAATCATTCCATCATCTTTCCAGAAGAACTGACTGCCTGCCCCCTGCTTCGTCCGAACAGCGCTCCTTCCAGAACAAACCGATAAGCCCGATAAGCCAAGCTTAAGCTCAGCGCGGGGCTTTTTCCAGTCTTCTTTCGTCATGGGCTCCCGCCTTTCCTGCTTCCGGTCGCCTGCTTCTTTGTCACCAACAAACCAACAGCCTCCCCCTCCCGCGCCGAAACCCTCCAAATCGGCCACGAAACCGACCCTACCCAAGCCCGCGAAATCGCCTATGCCAATCCGTCAAGCCGTCAAAATGGCCACCACCGCCGTCGCCGATATCCCGACCGTTGAGCTCCTCTACAAGCTTGGCAAGCTCTCCGCCCCCGCGAAGCCCCTTCAGGCCCCCAACCTGTCGCACAACCAAAAGGTCGCCGTCATCCGCGGCGACATCACGAAGCTCGGTGTCGACGCCATCGTCAACGCCGCCAATAAGAGTCTGCTCGGAGGTGGAGGTGTCGACGGCGCCATTCATCGCGCCGCCGGTCGCGGTCTTCTGCAGGAGTGCCGCACCCTCAACGGCTGCCAGACCGGCTCGTCCAAGATCACCGGCGCCTATGACTTGCCTTGCAAGAAGGTCATCCACACCGTCGGCCCCGTCTACGATGAGCTCGCACCTGAGACCTCCGAGGAGCAGCTGAAGGGCTGCTACCAGTCCAGCCTGGAGCTCGCTGTCCAGAACGGCTGCCGCAGCATCGCTTTCAGTGCTATCAGCACTGGAGTCTACGGATACCCTAGCCGCGAGGCTGCGCCCGTCGCCGCTGGTGTCGTGAGGAAGTTCCTTGACGGAGAGAATGGCAAGAAGCTGGACAAGATCGTGTTTTGCACCTTCGAGATGAAGGATGTTAATGCTTACAACGAGACCCTGCCGTATGTACACCCCAATCAACCGTTTCGAGATAGCTGCTAACAGTTTTCCCAGTCTCTTTTTCCCTCCCACCGACAAAACGACAACCCACGACCAGGTCTCCAATGGTCCTTCCAAGCAGGAGACAGAGGAGGCAAAGGCGATCGCGGCCGAGCTTCCTAACGTCCCGAAGGCCGATCCCTCCTCATGATAACGACGTGGACATTTATTCGGAAGGTGAGCGGTTAGTGGCCGTCAAGGTATCAACAGGATGGCGTCCTTAAGCCTCGGAGTTTGTGGAGTCACGGTGGGAAAAGGCAAGCCGGATAGCATAGCTTCCCTAATACATTGAAGTTTTAAGTGCCATTTTCAGTGTCCAGATGAAAACTGCACTACCGCCACCTTTATTCTTATTTTCCTACAGTGGTCACAACGCTCACGTTTCTGGTGCCTTCTACACGGGGTTCGCCAGCCGGGCAGCGCCTGTCACTTAGCTATCTGGATAGTGTTCACTACACACATCCAATCCTAGGTATAGAGACGCCTGAGTTTTCCTCTCCTACCTCAAGGCGATCATGTTTCCTATATGATCTCATTCGTCGTCGTCGTCGCCTGTTATCGTAATTGATATCGGCAGCGCCATCCCTATCGTTTTCTCTACTACCGTCGTCCTTATCAAAATATCAGGTATACTACGATCATGGCCATGGGGACACTGCTTGGATAGCTAACTAACACTACACGGCTAGCAAGACTTTTTCTACATAAGGCACTTCTTTTTGTCTTCATCCCATCACTCCATGTGACATCTAAGTCCTTCCACCCCACGCAGGAGAGGGTCTCGGTTGCTAGTCCCTAGCACGTTTGACTCGCTTCTTCATGGAACGGAGTGCATGTGTTTGGCATTACGCTTTCCCCTTTGCCGGTTTCGTCGACAGCCAACCCAAAATATGACTAAAGCCAGCGAATGTCCTCTGTGCAAGACGATCTGAAGGGAACAAATCTCTTAACTCGTCCAATTCAATTTTGTTGAAAGTTTCGTTAGATTGGAGCATGTGTATTGCGTCGTAGTGGTGCCTCCTACTCGCGTTATCCGGCAGCCTCATGTGAGGAAATGTCTCGACAATGGCCGGTAGAGGTCGGAAATATCTCGGGGCCTCGTGCTCAACGAAAATCTTGCAAGCTTGGATTATGTTTGCTGGAGTCGGCTCCGTTGACTCCAGGTGCGTGACTCGAGCAAGGAAGGTTTGCCATATGACGTTCATCATGGCCCTCGCATTTGCGAACTTCTCTTCGTACAGGTTCAGAACTTCGGCTAACAATGCGAGGTCAATCAGATCCGACCAAGTGACTTCAGGATCATCCTTGCGAATATCGACACGTACAGAGCCTCTGAGTAGTTCAGTTACAATCTCCACATGGCGAGTATTCATCCCCTCATTCGATGCTGAGAACCCGAACTTCAACAAAGCTCGAGCTTGGGCGTGACCTAGTAGTCGCTGCACATCTTCAATTTTTGGAAACAGTTCCGATGTTCGTAGGAATTGAGTAAAGTAATCGACCCGGGCGTTACAGAGCATATCCCAAATAGATATCCGGTTTGAAAATCTGTCTGTTTCCAGCTCTTGCATAAAATGACACAACCTCAACAGTGCATCGTCCGTGCACTTTTGTAAGCCATATTTGCTCTGCATATGGAAGCAACACTTGAAAGGGAACAGTGAATATGGACCGCATTCTAGTTCAGATAGAAAGTGCTCGAGTGACGGTGTTTCAAGGAGGAATTCGAAAACGCTTCTATGAAGAAACCCCATCCGGACCTCGTTGTTCTTAGTTGTCCATGATTGGACTAGGTCTCGACATTTGGCTAGAACCATATCCCTCACCTCTGAGTTCCTCGATTGGTCCAAGGAGTCCGCGGTCAATATTTTTGACGAATCTTCCGTTGAATTCGTCGAGGGATCTATAGGCAATTCTTCATGAGTGTCCGGCGTTAAGTCGTTCTGTTCGTTCCGGCTCGTTGTTGAGGTTGTCAGTTGATCTGTTTCCAAAGCGTTGAGAAATTGTCGTTCAATTCGGTTACTCCATCCAAATAACGTACTTCCCATGCGCGCGGAGCGCCTCGAGATACTGGAACTATGTAAATTCTCCAAGCGTTTTTGCCAACGCAAAGGATTCAATGACGTGAAAAAGTACAACGGTAAGGATGTTTTTGCGGTAAGCAACATTGTGAAAGCGCAGAACGCATAATCGAGATAGACATCCTCGATGGAATCTAGCATTCTCTGGAAGAATTTCTGGAGATCCGAAGGGAGCGCAGCTAGACGCTCATGTAGAACCCAGACATCGTCTCGGTTGTCCAATCCTCGCAGCAGTGATTTTACCACAAGGGATACCCAGAAGAAAACCCCTTCTGACTTATCACAGATTGTTTGGATCAGGTGACGTGACTCAGCCAACTGCTCTTTCTGGACTTCTCTGAATCTTGCGTGTTGTAACAGATTGTCTTGCGCGTACCGAAGTATATCGTTCTTAGTCAAGTTTTGCATCTCTAGTTTCCAGCGGCTTTGGCCAAATGCATCGATGAACTGAGGCCATGGTCTGCTCGAACAACAAATTTTGAAACTCGACGAGTTTGCGACCACGCGCAAGAATCTTATGACTTCTCGAGGTTCTCCACTGTACTCATCGAGACCGTCGATAAGTAGAAGAAAACGGAATGGAAGCTCCTGAATTTGTTGAATTCTCTCAAAATCTTGAGAGAGCTCCTCGATACTCCAGGATTCTAGTGATTGGAAGGGATCTGAGTACCTCTCCATACAAGTTTCCGGAATGATTTCTGGGCATTGGATAAAGATCTGAAACAGCAAGGACCGAAGAAGGCCCTCTTGGGAGTTTTGAATCTTAGTACCAACACTCCAGAAAAAATGGCCGACGACGATGAGAGGCTTTGGCGCAGCCCATGCCTCTGCCAGCGTTTGGGTCATCTTATGGCCTAGAATCAGCTTCATCAAGGTGGACTTTCCAGATCCCGGCTTCCCAGTAACCCAGAAGATGCCTTGACTTGGCTGTTGGAACCATTCCTTGAAGCCTGCAGGCGAGGAATCGTCATATATCCATTGGAAAGTGTCGCGGTGCGCCTGTGGAATTTCATTCTGCCTCTCCTTGATCTGCGCAAATTGCAGACTTTTAAGAATCGCCCTTATGTTGCCACGATGATTTGCCTCGTCAGCAAACCTGCAGAGTTGTTTTGCAAAGTTGCCGAGATCATCTGATGGGGGTTTCATTGCCTCGGTGTTGAGAAGCTTTCCAAGATCTTGGGCGATAGCATCCAGCCTTCTCTCTGTAGCGTTATTCCAAGCAGCCGATGCCTCGCCTAGTGAGCGCATGGCTTCTGAAAGCGACTTGCGGTGGTCACTGTCGAGAAAAGCATTAGTCAGCTTCGCTTGTAGACAAGTCCAGTTTGTGACAAACTAGAGTAAGGGTTCCAATCTCCGAAATATTTCCTTTCTGATGTCCGCGATTCTGGCCGCAAGGGCCTCGATTTTGCTTTTCTTCCAACATGCTTTAACAGAAACTGCGAACTTTGCTAAGGTCCGTTGACGGTCGGCAGCGCTCATCTTGAGCCCTTCAAGCTCGAAAAGTAGCTCATTTGCGACTCTGATACATCGCTTCAGGAGGCCCAAGGTGATCGGGTCAGCTTTCGCCGCAGCGTCATCCTGGAGGAGAGTGCACCGATCTTTGAGGCTGGAAGTCATGGCGACCAGGTCGACATTGCGCTCCGCCAGGCCATTAATATCGGTACTTCGGTATGTCTCAATCACGGCCTTTGTGATCTTGAAGCCAAGCTCGACGAACTGGACGATGTTGGACGCGACGCCGAGCGCCGCGAGTGATTCAGCCATGGCGATGTGTTCGCATCTGAGGTTGGGAGATTGCTGACTTGTCTCAGCCTGATCTGATATGGTCGAGGGAAGCTGAAGGTGGCGGAGCTTTATGCAGGCCGGGCGATATGGCGGTAAGTAACGCAGAACGATTGGTTGTTGACAGGTGCTTTCTCTGAAAACCCAGGGGGATTCATTCCCACTCATTTGCGTTTGCCTTACCTGAAACCCCTGTAAATGAGGCATTTATCGCCCCTTAAAGAGGCTTTTTTTTCAACTTTATTCGACCTCTTTTTCGATAGTTACGTAACGCGTAGCGTATACGCCTAAATTAAAAAGCTATGTCTAAAGGTAAAATTAAAGCTATCGATTAGTATTTTTTTTTAATTAAGTATATTAAGTTTTTGAGAAGTTTATTTTCAAACTAAAAATAAGCGAAAAACGACCAAAACTCTATTTTTAGTTAATAACGCGTTTTTAATTAAGGATAAATATAAAAAGATCGACTTTTTAAAATAGCAATACGCCTAACTAAAGAGTATGCTAATTAATAGCTTTAATTTTATTAATTATAAAGGTATCTTTTTTGTTCAGACGTATATATTATATATTTTATAATTAATAGTTTTTTCTGTTAAAAAGGGGGCTTTCTTAGCTACTATATTAGAAAAAAGAGGTGTTAACCTCTAGAACTAATAGAGGTTTTAGGTAAGGTAAACGCAAATTAATGCATTTAAATTCAGCTATAATAGTTACTAACACTTATTAAGACTGCCTAAAGGAATTATAATAGCTACTATATTCTACTAGTTTTAACAACAGATAGATATAAAGTTAACATTATAATTAGCTATCTAATAGTAAAGTCTGCTAATAGAAGCTAGAGATTAATATATAGTAATAGTATATTGAGTTTATAGTTATTAGTTATAAAAAGTAAACTATAATAGATTAGGTTTTAGAGGCTAAAATAATTAGTTTTAGACCTTATAAAGTATTATAGTAAAAATAAGCTAAAAGTATCTTAAGAACAAATATTAAATTAATTACTAAAAGGCTATAGAAATTTAACTTTAAGCTAAGCTTAAGTTATACTATATATAAATCTTAAATGGTTTTTATTAGCATAAGTTTAAGCGTATATAGAGGCGTAACATATACGCCTATATAGTATAAGGTTATAGATAGGCTTATATTATAATAAAAAGTAATAATCTTAAGTATTTATAGGTATTTAATTATATAGATAATTATAAGGGAAATAATATATTGTAATAATTATTATTATTGTAGTTAGTAAATTATTGTCACGGGCTAGAGCCCGGATTGATATCTCCGGCTTCGCCGGAGCAGTTACTGAGATCCAGCTCCGTTGGACCCACTATTCTGCTGCAGTACGCCGCCTAACCCAGCCTGCTTCACCGCTGTTAGGTGCCTACTCTTGTAAAGTCCTTTCTTCCTTCTTCAGCTTAGAATAGTCAATCGACAGCACCTCTATGTTGAACAAGCCTAGGGGCCAGCCCCTTACAGCCACAAATCTTAAAGTATATATAAAATCTAAATATATTGGCATAAAATATTATTTTACTAAGAAATCTTTATTAAATAAAGATATAATATTATTTTATATAGATATTAAGTTTAATATTATAGATATATTAACTAAGCCTCTAAATAAGGTTATATTTAATAATATACTAAGTATTAATAACAATAATAATAACAATAATAATAATAATAATAACAACAATAATAATCTAAATATTAAAATTAAAAATAAGAACTATTTAATTTGAAACTAAAGTATACTCTTTATACATAATAATAAGATTATTTAAATTATTTAAAATATAACGTTATTTTAGAATATAAATTAAAATATAAAAAAAACAATTTCTTTTGTTTTAAAGTTTTTATTTGAATAAATGTAAATATTCTTTTTATCATAATATTTTTAACTTATTTATTTAAAGCTTTATGTATTTTATTTTATATATATATATTTTATTTCATAAAAAGTATATATGATAGAATATAAAATATTAAACTTAAGAATATTTATAAGTCTTTTAATAGAAAACCAAGAAATAATTAATATTAATAATAATAAATTATTAATAATTATTTTTAATTTTTTGTTTCTAAAAATTTCATTTCTAGTTATATTACTTCTAATAATTCCTTATATATTTATAGTAATAGAAATATATAAAATAATAATCTTATTATAAAGTTTCAACTCTATTATATAATATTTATATTATTAATACTTTTTTAAATCTAATTATTGAATAAAAGTATATTTTTAATTTTATTTAAATTAAAAAGAATACTGAAAATATTATTTAAATTAATATATTTCTAAATATGTTTAGCTTTTATTTCTATTTAAAGAATAGTATATTAAATAAACAAATTATAATAGAAAATAAATTTATAAGAAATACTAAGACTAATTATTATTATCATATTAAAAATATGTTATAAATTATAACTAATTGTAAAAATGATATTTAAAAGTTAAAATATAATTTAATAAATATAAATTAAATTAAACTAAATTATAATTCGCCTTAAAAATAATAATTTAGAAGTATAACATAAACTAAACTTATAACTATTATAAACTAACTATAATCTATATATAATATCTATATAAATAAAATAGGTTTATTCTTTTTAAATTATCATTTAATATTAAACGGCTTTTAAAGAATAGACTTTAATATACTACGATATTATTAGTTTAAATACATAGGTTAGATATAGGTCACTTCACACATTCCTCTAAGAGTAAGGCTACCTCAGATACTTAAGGGCATCACAATAAATATAAAGCTCCTTATATCCTCTGTCAGCAAAACCGCGAGGCATCTGCTCCTATGAGCTGTACCAGTTCCACGCTCTTAGGAAGGCACGCCGCACCAGGAGAGCAACATCCTCCTGAGCAAAACACACGTTTCAATTCCACTCTACGGGCTTCTCTGACTAGGTTGTGGCTCACATCATACCAGACCTCGTTTTGCCACAACCCCCAAATACCCCATAAACTAACCGATTAAATTTGTAGTCACATAGGCTGTTCGCCAGGAGTCATGATTGCCAAGTGACATCCTCTATAACAGGAACGAGTGGTTCACGCACACGTGAGGAAAATGGGCATCTTGCTCTCTTCAAGTTTACAGCGACGCCGAGAAACCCGAGTAGGAGCCTGCTTTTTCAGTCAATTATCAAAAGCAAAATCTAGTCGCTTATTGCCTTCATCAGTAGTCCTGTTCAAGTAGGGCGCTTGTTCACGATCAGACATGGCGTTCCATTGATCCCGCTTAGACTTGTTCCGAAGCGTATAATACACCTTGGCAAATGCGTAAGCAAAGATTGTAGCGACGGTGATGGCGATCAGGTTCTTATTTCCACGGTGATAGTGAGGCTTGTCATCTTCGCGATAGATGTTGGAAGACGCGATGCCAGACAATTGGATCGTTATGTTGTACAACGCGGCGCTGATTGCTCTAGTTCGCACAGAGTTTGAAAGTCGAGAGCACCAGCCGACGTGAGCAGCATGCGTTGATGGCTGACCGAGGATCATGAATGTGACAGCATACTGCGCCCATGGGGACAGGCTTTCGATGGAGGTATACTCGACAAAGAGAAGAGGCAGCACCCAGACCTGTGACAGAAGGCCGATAATGGCGATTTGATGGAACCTCTCGGTGAGAAATGTGACCCACAGCATGTTGACTGCTGCAAATACTGTGACAGGGATGGCGAGAAGCGTGACGTTGAAGGTACTGAAACCTAAGGCCTTTAGAGATAATATGATGTATGTCTTCGGCGGCGCTGTTGGAATATCGAAAAGAATTCCAATGAGATAGATGGGCCAGAGGTCGTACGTAGTCTTTGAGACTTTTCCAGAGCATGCCGAGGGTCAGAGATTCTCGGTTGTGCATATCGCTCTTCGATGGATCGTCCCGAAGAACGCGATTAACAATGATCTTCTCCTCGCGCTCCGTGAAGTAGCCTTTGGGGTTCCACCATGTCCTCGTCTGCGTTGGACCTGGGACGAGAAACAGGAAGCTGAGAGCGCCGATCACGAAACTGACCAAGGCCTCGATCAGGAAGAGCCATCTCCAGCCTTCCTTGCCGGCCACTCCGCGCATATGCAGAATGCCATACGCCATAAACGATGCGATAACGCCTGAAATAGAATCGACAAACCAAAACAGGGCGAGACGGATTGGCATCTCGGTCTTCTTATAGAAATAAGACAAATACAGAATGCTGTCCGGAATGAAGCCACCCATAAAGAGCCCGATCTTGAAGTTCACGCAGTGATTAGCTCAGAGACGCTTGCATCCTGTTGTATTAAAAAACTTACAAGAAACCGACAGGCAAAAATGCCGGCCCTGTTGTGCATCAAGAACTGTCCGCCCGAAGCGAAACTCCACAGGATAATCTGGACAGGGATCCATCGATCAGGACCAAGACGCTTGCCAATCATCTGTGATGGGATTTCAGCTATGAGAAAGCCGATGCGATACATGTTCTGAGCATTGTTGTAATCATTTGTGTTGATGTTGAGGTCGTTGAGAAGGTTGTCAGCCGCGGCGTTGCCCAGGTTGCCTCTGTCAATGTTCAAACCGAAGAACATGACAAGGATCCAGGCGAAGATCCTAATGTCGGTCTTGCGGCGCACACGCTGCTCTTCGCGGTAGGTCCATCGTTCCTGAGGATCGAAGCGATGAACGCTTTCGTACTCAGCTGGAGGTTGATAAAAAGGCGTTAAGTTGGGATCATCGAAAACACTACGCTCTGTCGCAATGGAGTCAAGGTCTCTGGGGGTGTTGCGGCGGGTGAGTGCTTCCCAGAAGCCAACTGATTTGGTGGTGTCCTGTGGCTAAGCGAGATCACTCATGTCTTCCTTCGGAAAGTCGACCTCGAATGAAGGCGTTTTGGTGTCGATGTCGTGGCTGCGAGTGGTCCTTGTTCCATCGGCAACCTGGATGACGGAGGACGCATTTGCACTCATGTTCGGCACTTTGGTGAGCGTGCGTTGAAAGTGAATGATGATGTGCGGTCACTTGAAGGATACAGCCATGGTTTGAATAGGCCTTTGCATTCGACTAAACCATTGGTCGTGAAGTCATCTATATATGAAGCATTGGCCTCCAATAATTGGAATCGGTCGACAAAACACCGAGTCAAACGCGCACATCATCGCCATTGAGTTCGACGTGCTGCTGTCTTCCACCCGTTGCTTATTTCCAGAGACACCTCCTGTCAAAGTCTTCAATGACCCCGGAAATGGTTGAAAGTGAAGATAAGCTTTTGGTTGGTTCTCGGCGTTCGTCAGCCGAGAGGCCATCACGACATTATGGAGACAGATGAGGAGCGAGGGGTCCACCTCTCACAGAACGACGGACAATTCCCCATGTGGGATGGTGCTTGGCAAGAACGGGATACAACCCTCATTTCGCCTTGGCGTGTGACATGGAGGGGATGTGGGATCTAAATACGTCCTGTCACTTCCTTCTTTAAACCTGGGCGCGATTCTCCATCAATGGTCCGACATCCCCGAAATCTTCGTGATGAGCGTGATCGTAGGCCTGGCACATGGACGGACCGATGCACAATATCAGGCACAATTGGCGCAGTCGTCGCCCGGTAAATACTCTCATCGCAAATATCGTGGGGCGTTTCTTCCTTGTCTAAGCTCTTTATCCTAGTTTCAAAGCGTGTAACTGCGTCGCATTTCTACGATCTGACACCAGACACCCCGAAAGGCAAATTATCATACAATTTGATACCTTCCTTATTTGTCTCAGGACTTTCAATATCAAGATCCTCCTTGTCGGGAACTGAGAGCCCGGCATCAATATGATGCTTGTTCAGAAGGATCGAGATCCCGTCGCGGTACAGCCATGGGTCGTTTGTTCTTCTCTGCCAATCTTCCAGCTTGGTCCGCAGCTCTACAAGTACATCCTGATGATCAGGGTCTTTGGCTAGATTCTTCACCTCATTAGGATCCGCTGTGAGATCGTACAATTCCTCCGCAGGACGGAAGAAGTAGTCTTTCAGCAGTCTTTGCCCAACCTTCATCGGACTCTCTTCGGCATTGCGAATGTCTTCCCATGTGAGTGAGCCATAGATATCATTGGCAAAAGGGAAGTCAAGTCTCCAGGCAATATTGCGATGATACTTGTATTGTCTCGTTCGGGTGTACGTCGTGGGCCAGTAGTTCGTTGACTCATGAAAGGTGTGGGAGCCAAAGACGTGGTCCCATCCAGGAAGGTCCTGACCTTCACTAATGATGTCTAGGAACGATCGACCCGCAAGTCCCGCCTTGCGTACTTCCGAGTTTTGATCCAGAACCCAATCCAAAATGGTGGGTAAAACATCGACATAAGACACCAGGTTGGGGTTTACAGCCGGTGAAGATCCAGGCTGCTTGATGATGAGAGGGAGGCAGACCCCGGCATCATAAAGAGTCGTCTTGGAGTTCAAGAAAGGAGGGCCGTTGTCGCTGATGAAGATGACCAGAGTGTTATCAGAGAAGCCAGATGCTTCAAGCTCATGAAGGATCATGCCGATGCCCTGATCCAGACGGCTGATGGCCTCCGCATAGCCTACAAGCTCATGTCGAACACCGAGTGTGTCTGAGAGAAAGCCCGGGACAACCATGTCGCTGGCATGGTACTTCACGTTGTTGATTCGCTCATCGACAGATTCATCATTGCCAAAGCCACCGCGGGTGTGACCACGATGGGGGTCGTGATACCCAACGGTCAGTACAAACGGCCGCCCATCCTGTTTGGAGACCTTGAAGAACTCGGCCGCGCGTTGAGAAGACCACCACACATCCCTGGTCAGGCTCTCAGCCCTCCATTCCCAGGGATAAACACTGTCTGGACCGACGTGGATCTTCCCGATAATCCCGGTGCGAACGCCAGCCTTGGATAAAAAGGCCGGTCCAGACTCAATGTAATCGAATGTCATGAAATGGTGCTTGCCGCTGTTGAGTCCGTACTGGCCATTCTGGTGGGTGTGGAGGCCTGTGTAGAGGGTCGATCTTGAGCCGGAGCAAGAAGCAGTGCTTGCAAAAGCTTTGTCGAAGCGCGTACCTTCAGCAGCAAGCTTATCGATGTTTGGAGTCTTGATGTAGGGGTTTCCGTAGCAGCCAAGCTGCTTTCCCAAGTCGTCTGCCACGAGCAGAAGCACATTTCTGGGGGCCATCACTGAATGTGTTATTCCTGCTGTAGTTGTGGGAGGTGTGATATTAGTCCCGTCAAATTCAGTGCGACTCATCTTTTGTAGACAAGCGGAATAAAGGGCTCCATAGGATTCATTGCGCGACAGACACAATCATTGCACCATTGATGGCTGGGACAGTAATCTTGACTCTGATTGATGCAATATCATTTCCCTTGTGCAAGATGCCGAACTTCCGGTTTTCTCACATCGCAAATCTTCCTTATACCTTTTTTGGCAAATGCTTACATCTAGTGCTCGAAGTCACCTTTCCCATCGCCAAGCTCGGTGGTCGGAACCGTGGAGCTTCTGCATCCTATTTCGCCCCGGACGAAGTTATTCACATATGCCAGTGGAGATAGACATGTCGAGAAACTAGTGCATCGCATCATCTCAAGGGTGCAAAAGAGCCAGTGACATGGAACGTGCTTGCCGGGGTATGAGCAGGCGCTAGATATCTTCTAGTGATCCATCGCGTTGGATCTGGCAATCACGCAATTATAGGTGACCGCCAAACTCGAGTTCAACCTTGCATTTTCCTTTGAATTCATCACTTATCACAAAGTTGCAACTTGCATGTCTGTGGTCACCTTAGCTCACGGTGAACCGAATGAGTGGGAGAGGTTGGTTTGAGTGTTAGCACCGCTCAAGTATGTTGAAAAGATATCGCCCGTCTTCCTCAAAGAGCATAGCCGACAGCCAAATCCACTTCAGGCAGCCATTACTGAATACTTGCTTACCGAAAAATCCTGCGGAAGCACGGCATGCGGCAATGCTATCCGATATGGGTCGTTGATTTCGGGTTCCTCAATGGCGTGATCAGTGTGACGGCATTCTGGCCTCACTGTGCAAGAGAAATGTGTTTAAAGCTTGGTATATCTTGCTTCAACTGTGGTTTGATGCTCGACGAGGCATCAATATTTTGCTGCTAACTTGTATCCCACGATGAAGTCTGCCCTTCTTGCCGCGGTTCTTTCTCTTTCAGGAGTCGCTGCTCAGCTCACAGGCCCCGTGGGTCCTACAACAGCCCTGGGTAAGAAAACAACAGAATGCAACATCCTGAATTACGGAGGTATCAGCGACAACTCCACAGATGTGGCAGATGCAATTGAGAATGCTTACAAGAGCTGTGTTCTCGTTCACGCTGGCAGCTGTCTCATTGTCCCAGAGGGCAACTATCTTATCAAGCGAACAGCAATCCTGTCCAATGGTACCAATTGGGCTTTCCAGCTCGACGGATTGATCACACTCGCTTATGGTGGCAATTGGACTGTTGATCGTGAGTTGATCCTACAGGGGTTCGCAGGGGTTGAGCAGCTGAACGCGACAATCAACGGCGAAGGTGACGGCCTTTTCTTGCAGAATGGAATCACAATTATAAACGGTACTTACATCTCTTAGTCACACCGCATTGAAGTAAGGCTGACTTCGGAAACAGCCGTCAACTTTGATTTCTACTCGCAAAACGGAAAAGGTGCAATTCAGGGTCAGGGGTACCTGTACAGAAACTCGGGGAAGTACGCCATTTACCAACTTGCCCGATGCATGAGTTTGAAGCTCACAGCGCTCTTCCAGCACGTTCCGTCCTCGACTTGTCCGCTTGGTTTTCCCTATCAACACATCAGTCCATGATCTTATCCTCGTGGACAGTCCCAAATTTCACATTGTCTTCGACTTTGCTGTTAACCTGGAAGCCTATCACTTGACGATTCGAGGAGCGAACCTTGGTTCCTACGACGGGGTGGATGTTGTGGGAACGAACTACTGGATCCACGGTATTGAGGTTTGTTCGCTCAATTATCCAGTCTGAGGTTCTTCGATCTCACTCATCTTTCTTCCAGGTCACCAATAGAGATGAATGCGTGTCGGTTAAAAGCCCTTCGAACCATGCCCTTGTCGAAAATCTTGTTTGCAACCAAGCCGGATCTGGAATCTCAATCGGTAGTCTGAATGTGTCAGCATCTATCGCCAATATTGTAAGAGCTTTATCGTCTGCTTCTTTCTTGTAGCTAACAGGCTGCAGCATGCTCGCAACATAAGCATCATCCAAGGCAACAACATTGCTTTTCTCAAGACTTATCCTGGAGGGTCGGGTTATGTTACGAACATTACCTTTGAGAACTTCCGTTCTAAGGCATCCTTGTACGGACTGGACATCAATCAGTACTGGCAAAACACTTTTGAGCCGGATACTGGAGCGGTTGCGCTTAGCAACCTGACTTTCAGGAACTTCTCTGGTGAGTCTCCCGCTTGAATCAACTACTACAGTAGGTCTAACAACACTGCTCTCAGGATCTATTGCTGATGGCGCCAAACGCCCTCCCCTGTACTTGATCGCCAACGACTTAACTTACGCCACAAACGTGACTGTCGAAGGGTTCAGCCTCTGGACGGAGTCTGGCACATATGTCGTGAACAAGATCAGCAGCATCTTTGGCAACGGCGACAACTCGTACGGGGTAGGAGACGGCATAAAGCCACTCACGTCAAAACAGTCTCCAACGGCGTACACCAGCACCTACACCATCTCGACGACGCCCACCGGTTGGGCAGTTCCTCCGTCGCCAACGTGGGCAGCGGCAAGCACAGGATATGGGAGTAAGTGAAGCTTTTCATCCAGCTCGTGCGTGATGCGTCTGCTGATATCCTTCACCTTGCAGCTGATGTACCAATCCCCGTGTATACCCCGGCCCCTCTTTGGAAGCCCGAGGGAGATTATGATAAGCATTATTGGGGATCATTCTAAAATCTGGAGCATGCGTTTTGATCCGCGCCTATGGG